GTAAATGTTCGTGTTTATAGAGTTGCTCGCTGTAGTAGTAGATTTCTTAATAATTAGTTCTTAAGATAGTTGCTGTTAATGTTGGCACGGCGGAATAGTGTTTAGTTGGCATAATTACGTCGTGATTTATTTATTGTTTTTTTTCTTTACCTATCATTGTTGAATCGTCTGACGCACGCCAGCTTGCAACTTGCAGTTTACTGAAAAATTACACGCCACACATAACACCACTTAATGCATCACAAAATGGACATGCCGCTTGCTGCTCCTGCCGATGTGCCCTCTTCGATCAGTTAAATCAATTGTGATTATAATCATCAGGGCTTGTTTTGTCTGCTGTTGTTGTCGTCGCCAATAGGACTTTATCCTCTATTTTCAACCTGCGCCGCTCGCTTGGATCACAAATTCAGTATTATACTGCAAGCTCCGCTCACGTCTTTTCTGAGTCACATCGAGACTGCGCCCTGTTCCTGACATGTACTTTAGGACATAATTCTTTCGTTCTATCAATATTCCATACGAATTGTGCAAGTAATCAAAGGTGTTTTTTTTAATAATGTGGCATTTCACTGTGGAGTATATATGTTCAACTCAATTGTAAGGCGAACAACGTACGTGACAACCGAGCTAGTAAAACTAGTTGCAGAGTAACTAATTGTTGATACACAAATCCCTACAGACTAGAATATAATATGGTGAACTGAAAGATACATGGCACAGACAAGGGCTTGCGTGTGCATTTGTTTTCCTTCCATATTGATAATGGGACTCGAGATAGAACGGGGTGATGCCGGAAGGCCGACACAGGATGCGTCTTCGGTGAAACAATTGAAGGAGGTGGTAGTTGGCGATACCCTAAACGGCACAGGCGGCATTCTCACGTGAAACAATAATGGCGGCAAGTTTCATCTTCTTACAAAATTTATATATATTCTACGCCTGTATGCTTTTCTTTTGAAAACTCATTGAATAGGCAGATCGGACCCTCAATGTTGTCAGTTCATTTAGGCTTCCGCTTTGCATTCGTAACGTTTAATAACTACATTGTTGTAATAGAACTCTTGGCCAGAATCGGTTCCAGACCCCGGCAATGTTAAGCTATGTTTTTGAAGCGTGTTAATACAAAGTTTGACGCAGACACGGCTGAAGCAAAGGTAGCACTCGCAGACGGCCGGTAGCGTTTCAATGAGAAGACGCAGTTGCCCATTATACTAGAGATGTCCCATCTGTCTACTTGCCTATCCGTTACTTTCTGATCATAGCCTGCCAGCCGGTTTGCTAACTGACACATTCATATAGATCAGTGGGTGCTTTATTTTTGATAGAAACTATCGTTCGAAGCAGCAGCAGCAGCAGCAGCTTAGCAATACAGATAGATAGATATGTATGTATGTACGTATGTGTCTATAGATTAGTGATATAAAGTTCAGATCACTGATTGAAACGATTACTTCCATCGTATTTCCATTAAATTAGCTTACTATTTCACTATTTGAAATAACAGTAATATTGACCATTTATCGTCATCATTATCATTTTCCATTTATTATCAGCATCATTTACCATTTATTATGATAATAGTAACAATCATCATCGTCATCATTACTAGTCACGGTTAGCGTCATCGTCATTGTTATCATCAGAATTGTTATTCGTCTTTTTGTTATTATCGATACCAAGGATAGCCTTATTGTCATTACTATAATTAATGGCCAGTTAGTTAAGGTTGAGTTGTGTGCTCTGCGTAACTTGCTGTCGTGGTAAAGTTTATTTATTTATTGGTAATAGCAGTAATAGTATTTGGTAGAGCTGAGTTGAAGAGAAGTTGCAAGCGGTGGCACTCATGTAGCAATCCAATCAGCGAATGGCCATTTAACTGCGTCTCGAATCGGATTCATCGTGAACTAGGCGGTCAGGTATGCATAAACTCAGTCATTTCCTTGCGATTTACACAGTAACTGTTCAATTTTGGGCCAGCAATATGGCAAGTGGTTAAAGCTGCAATGCACTGGAGTCAGCATACGACTATCTGTCTACAAGATGGCAAGATCAGCTTCACGAGAACACACGCATCGTTTAATTCCTATCTCCACATAGTCACCACCAGACATATTCTCGCTACTGGCATGCCACAGTTTGTCAGACAAAAAGGTTCACCATCCATTTTGGCCTTTTAAGTGCCCTTTAAGCATTTCTTAAGTGCCAAAAAGTTTGCGACGGTGAACATTCATTGGAACAGTTTTTTTTTATCCAGACAAAATGGTGCAATCTCAATATAATGGTAATACAATTTCATGCGAATGTCATGATAAGGATATCAAAGAAACTCGATTTTTCTTTCTATAACGAGAGTGATTTTTTTTATTTAATAAAAGTGGAAAATGCTAGGAAGTTAACATGGAGTGTTCTATGCATAGGGGTCCTTCTTGATACCGATAATCGATAGCTCTCAAAAAGCCGAACAAAAATGAAATGTATATATATATATATATATATATATATATATATATATATATATATATACGTACTCGTACGCATAAATTTTATATTTTTCGAGGTGGACACCGTGAAAAACTACGACGTACTTAGCATAACGTTTAGGGAATAGAGTCAAAACGTCGGCTAAAACAGTATATGTTAAAAAATCATTGCGTCATATTGTGGAAATGTATCAAAATTAATATACTATCAGCCCAAGTCTTAACTAGCGTTGATCGACTCTGGAAAGCGAGGTCAACTCTACAGTACGCGGCGTGTTGCCGCTGGCGGTGTCTGTTCGACAACGGGGTTGTCCAATTCCCACGCATCTGAGATATTGATCCGGCCGACTCGAACTACAAACGACACTGAATTAAGTGGATGAGACCAATCTGGTAACAAGTGTAGGATAAAATTATATCGACGTTTAACCTCTCAGTGCACAATACCGGCTTATTTCTAGTCTGAGTTTGTTGTCTAATTCTAAAATACATTACTTTGAGGGTATGTGTAAGAGCCGTTAGGGCTGCCATGGAAATTTAAACAAAACGTTCTAATTGTAATTATCATCATTAGTAGCAATTATGAAAACGATTCGAACGCACATTTGTCGCTACAACAATATCAGAGCTTTGCGGGCAGTGGCAAGGATTTTCTCTACTCAATAGGGTAACTAAGACCCAAATATAGGGCTAAAAAGCCCGATCGACAATTGTCCTGGCCACGAAGGCAGATGGCAAGAAATGACGCATTAAAAAATGAGACTAGTCCAATATATGTAAAATGCATGGTAGGGCTGGAATTTGCTTTGCATTATTCGTTCTAGGTAAGACCGGATCAGAAGAAAGTTATTTTTTGACGATTCAAACTTTTCGATAAAAAAAATTGGGAGTCCGGCATAGTCAGACGATGAATCCATCGATCAGATGAATTCTATCTGACTGCCTTCTGCGTGCACTGTGAGATCCCTTCCCTTGTCATTTTGCTGTATCTCGTGTTCTCGCATCCACAAAGCATTCCCTTTTCAAATGCAGCCTCAAGGAACGCCGGGCTCTGGAAGAACAGCCGTCAATATCAACTGTCGATACAAGGCCCCCAAAAAGCGTTCTCCCCATGAATGAAACCTATCGCACGGTAATACGATCATGCAGCTCTTTGTAGCTGAATAATGAAATGAATGCAACCGTTATTTTCCGTTCCCTACGTCTTCTTTACTTTTGCACCCATATCATACCATATGCGATTAGTAAAAAGAGAGACACTAACCACGTGATTGACCGGTGATGCCGTTGGCCATCCATCAACTCTACATATGTATATACTTATCATTGTTGTATAGTGCGTTACTGGCTCCGCCGTCATCGATGACCCGGCAATAGCCGCATGAGGCTCGATTACTCGTTGTGGCCGCGGTTTCAGCATGACATCATTTCTCTAGTCATTAATTTACATCTAAATAGTCCTTTCTATGTGACGTCGCTGCCGTTGTAAGTGACCATACAATTATCTCTCGTTCGATTATGCTTTCTCCCTTAGCTATTCTTATTGACAGTGTGTATTTGTGTAGGTGCAATAAGGTGTAGTGCATTATGTGAGAGACCGTAGATGCATTAGATAGCAGCAATATCTAGATACTTCTGTATAATAGCTGTCGTTCACCACTGTAATAGTAACCAGATATACTTTCAAGTGACAAGTCCTTTTTTTTTGGACACCTAGAGGGCGCGCAAAGGTGACAAATAACTTCCGTGAACCCAGGGAGCCTCTGAACTAAAGACCGTGCCACTAGTCTTCGAGATAACTATACATCACGTTTAATCTAAGTTTGCTTTTCATTTCTTTCGTCCGTTAGCTGGTTGTTTTCTGCTAGCCTTTGAGTACGCCCTTCCATAACTGAGTCAGTAGTGGCCTGTTGTCGTTGCCATCGTTATTCTCTGTCCGTTCGTTTTTCGAAGAAATTCGTCGAGGTTAATTTTTCCATTTGTGCCTCCGGCGCGCTATATTTTTTTGCTGAGGTTTTAGCATAATTTTTCAGACGCTCGTTCGTTGCTTCGTCCGTCCTTCTCTTTGCCGCCGTGTTTCTGTCTCTGTTACCTCTCTGCTGCGACCACTACTCGCATTATTATCGTTATCATTATTATAACCATTAAATCATTATTATCGACGTGTGTATCACCACGACTCTGATCAGCTAGTAGGTTGTAGCTCATACTTATTTTCCTCCTTTCGTTAATTTTCAAATATTTAGGCCGTCTGTATAATTTTCGTTCTGTTGTCATCCAGTGTGTCGTATATATTATCGTCATAAAAGGCCAGTCTATCCATTAATCCAAGCATGGTATCATTAATAGTATGTCATTACCGTCACCGTTCTTGTCGATAGCATGACTTAAGAAGAGTAATTAATCATATAATCATCACCGTTGCCATTTACCATTGTTATAAATGGCAACGCTGATGAGCGCGTCGCGCTCATGTACTCGCCTGCTTAACACGTTACCAGTCGAACTACGCTTAGCGTGGTTCATATCGGCAGCATATATCGATTATGGATATTTATAATAATAATAGATATTGATACGAATAAGCAAGTCACATTGAACGAATTCTGTGCTTGTGATATATATATAGATCCTCTTCGCGTGTCCAATGAGCATGCCGTCAGTGGTAATAATTAGGTAGTAACGCGTCTCTGTATCTGTAGTTGGTTGTGTGCATAGATGTGTGTCTGCGTAGGTATATCTGTGTCCTTTTATGTTAATGTTTCTAGCCTTTTTCTGTTTATATCGGCGGCCTTCTTCAGAATCTTTTACCAAATGACTCATCGTCGAACAAGATCGGCCATTAATCAATCAGCATCATACGGCTTACGCTCTAGTCACTCATGCCCTCCGCCTGCATTTACCACCCCACCCCACCCCACATCCATTAGAATCATCGTTTTTCTAGATCATTGCTTATCTCGTCCAGTTTTATATAGGTGAATCATCATCAAGCATCATTATCATATCGCATTTTATGTTAATACCAGTGCCGTCAATATTTTTGTATGCTAGTAATTAGAATAAGAATAATTATCATATAGTCAATTGTTATTGTTTTCTTTCGCTGCTAACCGTTGTTTCCATACATTCATACCATTTAGTTCCGCGTCAGTGTAATTGGGGTCAGTTGTTATTACCTACTATCTTTGAGTAATCGTCGTATAAAAGGTTAAGCTACGGCGGGACTGCCTGGACAACAAAATCAATCAATTGATCAACAACTGAAGTAGCATTAGGTCACCGTAGTAAATTATCTCAATTCAGAGCAATCAATCAATCTATGCATTAATAGATCACTCCATCGTTCAACAAATCAATTAATCAACTTATCAATCAGTCCATCAACACATTGATTACGCCATCACTCACATCAATAAATTAAATCATTAGCATTAGCATTACTATTATCAACATATAATAGTCATCGGTGTTAACTTTAACCGTTATTCTCAATCACGAATAATTCGTGGACATTATCAGAATCCAAATTCGCCTCCGAAGTCATCATTATTACAAATGAATCAATCTATCATCATCACGAAAATCAAAACCATTAACAGCGTTTTATTTCTAGGAGCTATAGCGCGGGTTAGCGGTGGGCAGCTGGTGGGCAGCGTGGCTTGACCGACGACGCTCGGGGCAAGCGCTCGAAATGATAACGTACCGCCGACAGCTTACATATTCACTAGTCAAATAAACGAGCGAAGCCTGGCAGTAAACGCATCTTTGCCTCGGCCTGTCTGTTCATCCATCCATCCATCCCTCTGTCCGATCGCCCGCCCGCCCGCCTGCCCGCCCGTTCTTCCGTCTGTGTCCCTGTTTTTCTGTTATCGTATCGATGTCAGCCGGACATCTGTTCAATGTTTTTTTCAACAGCTGTTTTGTGCGACGCAACAGCGTAGTGTGCTTTTATTAAAATGGTTTTGCAATCATGGCAAAAGGCTCATAGCTTTTCACTGCCTTGTTGTTTTCGTAGTTGTTTGCCACAATCTCTTGTTTACGCTCTTCCTTATGGCAATACTCATAGAAAGTGAACAAACCTGCTTTAATGTTCACCATAAGTACGATACAATGTAAATACATACATAGGGCTGCTGTTCTACCGAAACGACGAGGGTTACGGTACGATATACTTGTGGAAATATGTTTCTCTCTTATGTACTGTTTGTCTTCTTCTTTCTGTCGCGTGCGCGTAAGTTCTAAACTTCGTAAGTTGAAATCTCTTGTGTTTAATAATATAAATTCATCTCTTCGTTCCTGTTCTCTTGAGAGTGCTGTAGGTCGTGGAGTAAGGTAGTTAGAATAGATAGTGCATTGTCATAGATGTATGGTAGTATGCATTTAATTATTAAGTACTCGCGTAGCATTATAAACTATTATCATTCAGGTGCAATTGGCCTGATATGGCTTAGCGAGCGTCTGCCTGTTTGCCTGCTGCCTAGCCCCATTAGATTCAGAGCGTCTTGGCCTGCTTGGCGGAAGGATCCGAGGTGTCTCGAAAAGCTGCTCGTTTGCGAATTGCACTTTGCGTTGTATCCGTTACTGTTGATGACGTCGGAGTATCAGTACTACTAGTAATAGTTAAAATTGTCGAAGTTGAAACTGTTGGAATAGCAGATATTCTAGTTGTTGCCGTTCTAGTTGTAACCGACGAAGAAAAGGAAGGTAAATTGGTGGTAGTAGCTTCAATAGAAGGTGAATAAGTATTATTATTCGTAGCAGTATCACTCGTAGAAATAGTAGTGCTCATTGAAGAAGAAGACGAAGAATAAGCATTACTTTTAGGAGTAGTAATAGAAAGCAGAGCATAGCAGTAAGCCTGAGAACCAGCGACCGCCGAGTTATCGGACATGCGGCTCATTAGCCGCATAATCGCAGCTCGACGAGCTTGAGGGGGCGCAAAGCCAGTCGTCTCGAAGCGAATAACGGGAATTTGGAGCAGCAATGGAGTCTCGTCGTAGCACCCGGCCAGGCGCATAGGCCTGCTTTCGGCACACTGAAGGCGCTTAACGATCCCGTCAGTGTCCGCCATCATGACCGGTATATTATTATGGTTGTTCGAAATGGGCAACGCACGCCCGACCTGCGTCCCCAGTCCGCTAAAGGCTCGAGCAATCGCTGGTGTTGGAAGCAGTATTCTGTTGGTCAGGCTCATGCTGTTGGCAACGAGCTCATCACGACCGCTCTTATGCGTGTGCTCGTGACTGTTGTTGCTGAAACCCTCAGTTGTCACATAAGACTTATTGTTGTTATCGTTGTCGCTTCTATCGTTGTCCGCGGTGACAATAGGATATGCGTCCTCATTTTTCAAGGTAAAATCGCCCTCCAGAATTATTAGCTGTGATGATTCGTGGCCATTAATACGTTCGGTGTTGTCGTCGCCAGGCGTACTCCTCCCGCACCAGCTTGTGCTGTCAACGCTTAAAGACTGTTGATGACACTGTTGTTGTTGCTGTTGCTGAACCATGCCATCATTGTTGTTCACACGCAAGACGATACCAACTACTGGGCTGTAATTTTTGCTGAGGCTACTGCTGACGCCGGCGTCGTTGTTGATAGTATTGTTGCTGTTGTTGTTGCCGTTAAAGCTGTTGTTACGGCTGCTGCTGCTGTCTGGTAGTGAAGCAACGAATCTGTTTGTTGACAGTGCGGTTTCGCCCAGTGTTGACTGAGAGCTAAATGGCCATTTCATCGAGGCCAGTGACGAGGCCGCACTAAGTAGCGACCGGCTCATGCTGCTGCTACTGGCTGTTACTACCTGACACGACGATGTACCTGTCCGCCAATTCTCGCCAGCTTTATTTATGTTCCTCCAGCCGCGGCCTCGCTGTGTACAGCCCATCCATTTCTAATCACAGTACGAAGTCGACGCATGCGAATTGGCCGACCGATGGGTATGTACGTTCTGCCATTTGCCGTCTTTCTTAAGCCACAGGCGTGTCTCTTCCGTCTGCTTACTACGGGCTTGTCCTGTTCTGCTGTCAACGTATTGTGTCAACCTGCGCACAAATGACCGTACAGTGAAACTAGGATGAAAAGCAGACGACACTATGATCGAAATAGGATAAATTTTCTAAATAAAAAAAATTTCGGGAAACTGCTACAGGCAATTGAAGGTAAATGGCAAGAGTTTTTACTTATGCCATGCAACTGAGTCGGTTAGTAATAATTAAAAGAAGGAGAAACTATTTAATGCAGTAATATTATACTCTTGCTAGTGTCAGTAAGGCTATCACGGTGACTGCTAAATTAATCCTAATAAAAGTACGATAAGTTTAATTACTTTTACTAAGAAAACTACAAATCTTTTAAGGTAAAATTTTAAATTAACCATTTAAGTTATCGAGCGGATTATCTGGTATAGTGAATACGTCGGCTCTTAGAAAAAGAATATCATACACTATCTTTTGTATATTAAAACATATATGTAAAACTTAAGAGAAAGACAAATTATTCGGTTGAACCTCGAGTAATTTTGGTATTTTCGCTTAACATAAATGGCAACATTTTCACCCAAATTCTATTAACATTTTTTCTTATTATATATTTGCCGTCACTCTTTATGACCTTTTGTCTCTTAACCCATTTATTTATTTATTCCTTCTCACCAGAAACGTTTAGGTCTGATATTAGAAAAATTCGTTTAGCTGGGCTTTAAGACTTTCACTACGATTTCGATCTGCCACTGATCCATTGGCGCGAGATTACGGTGGATGAAAAGAAATCTTCAAATCAAACTTCTGCAGAGCGACTTTCCCAACATTTTCCGTGAGTCGCCTGGCGTTGTCATGCAGAAGGATAACTTCGCCTTTTCTATTGGGTCTTTTCAGCTGGATAATCTCATTTGCTCGATGCAATCAGGTCAGATACAAATCCTTGCTAACCGTCCCGTCCTTTTCGAACGTTTCCTAGTGTACAAGATCCTTTCAGTCCCAGAATGTGCAGCTGATCATTTCTTTTAAGATGGAAATTCGTCTTAATTCTGAATTCGGACATACTCGTTCTTTTCTCTGCTTTGGCAGGTTTTAACGAGACAGCATTTGAATGGTATACAGAAGTAAACAAATAAAGGAGATATGAACGGAAAGGGGAATATTGAAAACAAACTGAAAACCTTTATGTTCCAACCTAAAATTTTCCAGATAAATGCAAAAAAACAACGGCATTTCTTTTTATGATTTAGTTCCTCAAATATTTTTTACGGTTTGTTGAACTTTAAGATAAATATTAATCAAGTTACAAGAGCTTTTGTTAATGTCCAATAACACCAGGTTAAAGGGTGCACATTCGTAAGACTGCACAATCTCAGAAAAGACACTCAGAGACTGTTCTACTTTACCTAACATAGGCGATGCAGGCGGCGTCTTCGCTCATCATGTGCACCGTCGGATTGAGGATGGTAGTATTGCATCCGGCCTTAGCCTGCTTGGCAGCTACATCGAAGTGGAACTTATGGAAGTCCATTCCCTCAATCAGGTTACCCATTGCCTCGGGCTCGAAAGCCGTCATATGGGAGTCGCACAGCTTTCTACGTATCGATAAAATAACGATAAGGAATTTTGTACCTTGTTACTTGTAACACTTGTAATCTGACAGCGTTGCGTACACGCGAAGTTGTCCGAATTTCTACTACTTTAACAGTTTCTTCGGTTCGCTTCAACATGGGGATTAGAATAGTAATAAATATAACTTATTTTTTAGTTTATAGCTCATACGCAACTACTTTTACTATTCATATATCTTCATTTTAGCCACTAGTGATTCTATACAGTGCAGTATTTTTATCTTGTTAATTCATCGTAAATTTCGTACTTACGTGTAGGTCTCGAAATCACCCGTGTTGATAGCTTCGATTAATTGCTCGGTGAGCTTGACCACCTCCTGCTTGCGAGCTGTTGCGAGTAAACGACGTTAGCTCAGAACGGCACACTCCGTTATTGTACGAAATGTACCCGGAATAGTTGGTCGCTCAAAAAATATGCCGCCGGAATTGTAATTAAGCCATAGCGCATTGGGTGCTACCATAGGCATTTGTTCATCACCATACATCGTTCAGAGATACGCACACACACGCACACACAAACGCACAGACACTTGCATAGAAACGAAACATAACAACTCCAACGACCAACAACATAAGAGGCAGTCACAAGAAGTACACCAACAGTAAAAATTGTGCGAAAACTGTAGTCTACTCTGTAAAAAAAAACTTGGCAATTACCGAAAACGAAGACTTTTTATTATTTCTCTTTAAAAAAGAAAACTGCTGTAGCACTGAGTATCTATCAGCATGGGCAGGCATGCAAATCCTAAAGGCTCCGCTGGATGATGGTGTCTGTCCGCGACTGGCATTTTCTTTGCGCCAAATTTACGTGTACGTATCTGTACATATGTGTAAAAGCAATGCAAGTTTCAGCCAGTAAATGTGATATAAGAGATATAAGAAAAAATGGTATAAGAATTTTTATCTGTCTAGTTACCGGTAATAACTAGATAGTAAGAAATATCTGAAAAAGCCGCTGGGGCATGCAAAACATCAACACACAAACGGTAGCATAAAAAAGCCGGCTTCCACATTCTATTTGTGAGAACCGAAAAATATTAGACAAAATTAACAATTTTTTAACAATCAAAAAAAAAATTGGGCACAGAAATCACAGCATAGTATATAAAGTAAACTTAAGAACTTCCAATTTTTAAAAAGTATGGAAAAATAAGTACACTTTCAGCTAAACCGCATATGTTGTACATATGTAACAATCACGTACAATGCGAAATGAACCGTAATAATTGCAGACACTTTGTACAAAAATACTTAAGGATAATTGCCGAATGGCGCTTGTACTTAGGAAGTCTCAAACGCAAACGAGATGGAGAAATATAATAAACAGAATTCTCTAGCAAGTAGAGTGGTATGATATAGTGACCCAGAACACTGATGTAGCGAAACAGTTTTCTTTTAAGACATGCTCGAGTAACTACCGATGTACTGTTATTTCGGCACAATTTCGTGATGGGCACTGTGTGCGTTTCTTGTTCGACTGCCACAATTAGAATTTCTCCGCGCTATGAGTTTTCTCTTTATGTAGGACGTTGCCTATTATATGTGTACATAGTAAATTGCGTAACACCACTGCGTCTCTATTCCGCACTTTTAGGCTCGTGCATTGACATACTGAGGATGTCTGGTTGCATAGTTAATGGACAATGGAAAGGTTCGTCACATATTCTCGGTTCCTCTTGCCTGCAATCTACTTTTTGGCTACGTCCACGACACCTTACAGAAAACGGCGGCGTACATGCAAACGTACATGGGCTCTATTCCATAGAAAAGATATATAATATATATCTTTTCTATGGAATATATCTTCTTCATGAGATCTATTGGTTAATGCTAATAATATCGTCCTATTGTTATTTTGTTGACCACAAAAAGATAAGCACAAAAATGTAGTTTAGACTGTATAACAATAACATTTACGAAATACGAATTAGAATCGAACAAACTTCAGTCAGTAATCCACTCGTAATAGCATTATAGCTAGCAACAGGTCAGTTTCGCCAATCACAACCAGCCACTTTTTGCAGTGTGGTTACAGCTGAAGTCTAAAATAGCCACGGAAAGGTTCGAAAAAGGAAATTAGGTTGAAGAATGAAAAACGACAATGATCGGCCTGGCAGTAATGGCAGTGCTCAAGTGTACATAAAGTGACAATGCTGATAAAAGGCGACGCGCTGTTGAGACGCGTCGGCCGTATTACACTCGCGCATGAACGCGTAGATAGAAAGCTTGTGTATGCGCGATAATGGGAACGCATCGTAGGACTTGATCGCTCGGCTGTCGAATTGTTAGCGGATGACTACGATTACATGACTCACGATCCATACATCCAAATAGAATAGCAAACTGCCAAGAATCGACGAAATATCGCATTACGGTGCGAATAATAAATCGATAATAATGAGTAGAGAGTTAGAATGAAAGCGGAAGGCAGAGCTGTATGATGGACAAAAGCAAAGGACGAGCGAGTGAAGAAAACAAGGGGAGCGTGTCGAGAAACAAAAGAAACTAAGTTGGAGAGATCAAATGTACTTGGTAGAAAAGTGAATGGACTAACGAGAGTTAGATAGAGTGCCTGAGATAGAGCACAAAAAGTGGCGCCGAGTGGCGCTATCGCCACATTAATCTTCCGCCAACAATACAGTCCCTTAGTAATAGTGCACTTAGCGTGACCGATTTGGCCATTACGTAAATGTGAAAGAGCAACCCTTGAAGATGGCTGCCTTGAAAACCATTCGGCTACACAAGCCTCATAAGCGAAATCTGGCTGGGATGTGGGTGTATGAGATTAACTATGATGAGGTTGCAGGTATGAACAGGGGAGAGCAGGGACATTGTCAGCTAGTTTCAACCGTATACCATATTAAGTCGGAATCATCGTGGCTGGATGTTATTGCACAAGCAGCAGTAGGGGGTTGTTGCGGTTGTAAGATCTGCTAGTTGTTGTGTTAAAGCTGGTTTTTGTCGTCAGTACTACTTACGGTCGAGGACGGCTGGGGAGCCCATCGAGCTCGCGGCCACACCTCCGTTGCGAATTACAGCGCCTGATTGACCGAAGACGCGCGTGAACGACCAGATGATCAATCGAAAACGTCGAAGATTGAACGCGACAACATCGTCGACATCGCAATTATCATCGTCGTTGTCATCAAACGAAGAGTACCAACGGGGGCAAGAACGGGGGCAGAAGTGGCAAGAACGGACTCAAGTGAGATTCACATGACACTCAAAATTTATTTCTCCTAACTCCACTTACGTAGCAGCAAAGTAGGTCGATAGGCAGATAACACTTCGCAAAATAGTTTATTGCGAAAGACAAAGTAATAAGATTCCCGGTTCTTGTAGCTATTTAGTTCATCATCATCATCATCATTATCGTGATCGACAGTACAGCTATCGTTATCGATCAGCAATGATAACAGCATTATCATCAGCAATCGTCAGCCAATCAGTCAATTCATCATCAGCAGGGTAGGTAGCAGCAGTAACAGAATGCAACGTCAACTCGACAAAATACAGGCAGCTACGGCTATTGCGGCAAGTAATCTATAGTAATAATCCTAAAAAAGAGAAAAGCGTGGCGGGAAATTAGATTTGAAAGTAACTACTGAACAACAATAGCTGTAAAATAATGATGCAGGCGATGCGAACTGCGTGACCGACAAGCGGGTTTTGTTACTGTATTATGTATTTGTAACGGTAACGGATATCAAGCTCCGTGCACTTCCCAATGGTTATCGGCTATGGGCGGATATTGCATGCATGTGGTTGATTTTTGGTTGATGCTTTCTGTTAGTATTACTTGGTTTATTTTTTCTTTAACTTAAAGGGACACACTACTCGCTGAACTGGGGCGGTCCGTGCACGGCAATTATCCTACAGCAAGTTCTACAATAGTTCTGTACGAATGTTTATCGCTTACTTTTACGAATGTTCTATTTGGTCTTTGTCAACGTTAATATATATGTGTCATGTCAAGCCGTGTCTGACATCGTCGTATATCAATCCGTATATTGCTGTGTAGTAGAATCCGCTAGGTTCGTCTGTCAGGTTACTACCTCTTGATGGGTTCAAGGGAGCGTTTTGGCCTCCCTCTCTTAGAATTCGAAATGCAGGCTCTCGTTGCGGCGGTGAGGTCTCATAGGCAGAATGCGTTTTGACATACTCTAAGATTGACTGCTGGCACAGGTTGCAAAAGCTGGTTAGCTTGTCAACAGATTAGAGGGTAACGTTTGCTTAGCCTCAAAATAGGAACTCAACTAAGCGCCGACAATGGCAGCGGGAGAGTGTGCCGGTGTACAATAATGCATCGAAGACCGCTATCAAAAGAGTACTAACTGACAACTGCGCCGTGAGAACAGCAGCTGAAGCTTCGCTTTTTATGTCTGCTAGCACTCGCCGAACACTTATTACGTTGGTGCTGCTGGCGATGGTAGTCAGTTTCCACTAGGTGCCTTTGAGAGCTCTTCCACCGAGCGCGATCAGTGAATGCCAAAGAGAAGGGATATAGACAGCGACAAGGAAAAGTCGTATAGAAAAAACAGAGCTTATCTCTACAATCAATAATATTCGCCGGGTGTCCGCTGTAGTGATTGCTGTTGTATTGTTATGAATATTGGTACTTGTGTGATGCTCACTTTTGCGAACGGTTCAGTCAAATCGTAGTGGCGGATGTAAAAGGCATTGGCAAAAAGTGAGGAAAACCACGAAATTAGACCGATCACCATGTATCGCGTAAACTTTTCGAAGATTAAGCATAGTGCATGACTATTACCGCAAACAAAAATAGCGCAAGTGAAAAGAAGATCGGTATTAAAGTCAATTTGTGACCGACTGAGCAAAAATTAACAACAGAGCAAACAAGACATGCATAAATTTAGCTATTATTATTAGGCTGTTACAAGAGAATCCAGCGGATTCAGGCGGAAAACTGAATAACTTTTGAACTAGAAGGTTCCAGACAATACTTTTTCAGTATCCATTAGAAGTGCTCTGTTTTGCGTTTAAATCCTTGTCCCACTGCTCTGGCAGCTTCTGGACAACCATATACCTACCGTTCGCGTTCCCATATGTAATTTCTGTATTTCTGTATGGCTTCTCAAAATAAAGCTAGTTCTTTTAGTGGATGGCAAACCCATGTAATCACATAGACTTGGATTCGGAGAGCAAGCAAATCGAAGCAAACGTTAGATATTCTTTTGCTTGATCCAGGGAGTAACTGAGGCACGATGAGTAGACTGTATGCTTTTAGTTGCCGAGCGGACGGTCTGCAAGTTTCTTAAAAAAATTCGGTATAGGAGGCTGCATTTATTGTTTAATTTTTAGCGAATATCTCATAGTAGCACATATTATGTCCATTGCGAAGTACCACCATCACCTCGCGTCCTTTTTTACTTCTTCGTCCTTATTTACTTGACACTGCTGCCGAGCTCGATTTCTCTGCAGAGCTGTGCTCGTCCTCCGGCTGGTTGTAAATATCACACCATGTCTATGGCCTTCGTATGCTTCAGAAGGGTTCTTTATTAATTAAAGTTTTGTAAATCGTGTTTGCCATACAACGCATGCGTTTCCAACTAACCTGGAGGCAATTCACGGGAAGCCTATTTTTATTCAGTTTCCAAATAAGTTACATATGATAATAAAGTTCTTGTGAAGCAGGCTACTTTCATCGAAAACCTACTCAACTGCGGCAATGCGTTTTCATCTTTCGGTTTCTGACATCTGGTCACCTTTTCACTGGTTTTGGAACTCATCTGAACGTTTGCACCATTCCCGGACTGTACTTTCGCCCAAAACATCATAGCCTACTTCACTAGTCTTCGATGGACTCCCGTAAGCCGGTGACCAAGGAACAAGAACTTCACTACTAAGCGTTGGGTTTCAATATTATAAATGTTTTTTTTTCTGAATAAGTTTCTTCTGGAGTAGACCCTACCAGTTTACATTTACAGGTTTGAAGAGTGCTAAAGTATTGACTAACCAAATATTGTCTGCTAGTGGCGCATAATTTAAAAAAAAAAAGTTGTTCAATTCGCAAAACCGCCGGATTCACTTGTAGCAGTCTAATATGATAAATAAGATCGTAGCAGTATTATATTATTATATGTCTCGAAGTGTGGGGAACTGCAATATGCTTGGAAATCAGTGCGCAACCCGAAGCAGGTAGATTGGCTAAGTATCGTGTTGTTTAGTGAAACAGTAAAGGGAAGATTCCTATTCTCGCCGTTACGTTTAACATACATCGTTTATCTGTCTGTGAAGGCTTATGAAAAAAGTCATAGCAGGGACTTACAGAAACGTCTATCACTTCACATCTGGTGAAAACATGGTTGAACCCTAGAGTAAAAATGTGGTTCCGTTATCCTCCGGATTAATTGCACTCCTAACCCAGGTCATGTGTGCAAAGCGATAGTATTTTTACCGATCAATGTGCTGAAACAATCGTGCTTTTCCCTCTGTTGTCATCATTGGCATTGTGGAAGAACTACTCGGTATCAAAACGTATCAAGACGGAAGGACATCAAGCTTAATGAATGACGCATATTTCAGTTAGACTGGACCTACAACGATATAAGGTTTTGTTGGACGATGTCTACGGAGATACTATGGAGCTGTTAACAGTATCGTTAGATTTTCAAAACGGTATATTAGACCACGTTTCCTGCCGGGCATGATCCGAGTCATTGGCGAGATCCAGCACAGCCAAGTTGCTGAGGCCAAGGCGAACAACCACATACCAAATACCAAGAATCAAATGCAAGGATTATCTACAGGCAGACGTGGCAATCGATAAGAAGCCCCACAAGTTACTAACGAAGCATAGAACTTTGCATCTAGGCTTCAGCGTTTACAACTTAATTTCATTTCACTGCTATATATATATATATATATATATATATATATATATATATATATATATCAGGCATAGCATCACAAGTCTATATACGCTGTACAGGTGTGTAAATAACGATAATATATACTTTTATCCAACAGCAGAAGAAATAGGCTACGAGCTACCTGAGCAAGGTGACCGTTCTATTGTCACATCTGACTTTGTCCATCTCTGTAGTGTTAGCCTATACTGCCTACAACTAATGAATTGCTACTGGATCGTGTCTAGAATAAGCATATCTTGAAACATATCTGGCGCGTACCTTGGGGATCGCACTGGATCACAGTTTTGCTTCTCTCTGGACCGCTGTGAGCGGATCCATGGCTGGTCACGTCTGAAACGAATCGGGGCTCAACGAGTGCTCTTCATAAACACCAATAAAGTGTCCTTTTGAAGCTCGACATAGTAAAATCTATATAGAGCTGTCCAAAGTGCTGTTTTAAGAAAAGCAGAGTACCTAGGGCCGGCCCCCGGTGAAAGTAACGCCTATTAGAAGACCTAGCTAGTTAAGCGAGTCGATGCTTATAAAAAGAAAACTCAGATCGACCATTCAATGATTAAATCAGTCATTCGCTCTAGAACGCACGAACAGACGACAGACAATCACCGAACGACTGGACGGCCCATCAATCATCAAGCAAACGAATAAAAAAAGGTTCTCATAATAATCATGTAATTTTGATCGGCATCACGTTCATCCTCATAAAACATTTACTTATTTTCACAACCGTCACGCCAGTTGTAACCAATCCTTATCAGCATTAGCAGTATCATAAACGATGTGATCAATGCTTTGTTTAAATCAAAGTCAGTTCTCAACGACATGATCAAAAAAGTAACTCAGGCTGTTGGCAAAAACTGGACAAGACAGCGAATCTTGGCCAAACGGGCGCGGACGGATTGATGATACTGAGATAATAACAGTACTAACAACAGCTTTTTCTGTTTCCATTTATCAATGGATTAATCAAGCAAGCAATCAAATACGAAATCGGTACCCATTTAATTGATCTCGCAACAGCACGATCTACAACCATACGTACGCACAAAAATTATAGCAGGAATTGAAACGCGGCAAAGCATCAGTCAGTCGAAGAAATCGACATTGCCATTCGTTGTCTATTATTTCTTTCGATCGAATTACTCCAAACAGATAACTACCCTTAGCAGTCATCGGTTCTATCATAGTTATTAAGTTATCTTCATCCAATAATCCATGATCGTTATTACGAGTAGGCATTGAAAAATAAAAAAAGAAATGATTAATCGAGCCAGTGAAACAGAAGATTTGTATGGATTTGGTTTTTAATAGCATCTGCGTTCCATTTAGAATAAATGTAAACATAACTAATGACGGCCAGCTGGCGTATTTGATTAAGTGTTATTTAATTTATATAGTCTATGTACGTTCTTTGTATAGAACATATTTACATATCAATTTAAATATTGCATACATATTGGTGAAATCAAGGGGTGTCTAACGGAGCTCGATTAATCAGACCCATCAATGAGACAATGAATGCATTTACTGAACCAATCAATCGACTCATTTGTTTCATCAGCCATTTGTCTAGTAACTCGATCTGAGTAACTAGGGGGCATTTGATCTCGGTAGGTGGTCAGTATTGGTTTTAGGTAATGCCAATACTGAGATTCTCAGAAAGAAGGCGAAGATAGGCACAACCTGGGCATCCAGCGATCCAACTGTACGGAAGGCTGTAACTGGCGGCCAGTGAGAATCAATAGTACATATTGAGCAATGGCGTATGTAAAGTCAATGCAGTGCCTTTGTCTCGATCGGGTGAAAACCGAAAAGTAAGTGCGGCGTAATGGCATAAGAAAAAACTTCGTAGTCTCATCATCTGCAGGGAATTGAATTTCAAGATATAGTTAAACTTCTGATATATGATAAGTATATGTTTCCCCGTTATGTATACCGCATTATATATATGATCTCGTTTTACTTAATCATCATCATCATCTGCGTTGCTGGAAGTGTACATTATCCTTACTATAGATACTTATGCTCGTATGCACACATTTATTACTATCTAAGCTGATATCTTGTCGTCGAGTTCGACTGAGCTCAAGACAAGCAGCTTGAGCTACAAGTTAGTTTTTTTACATCGATTTATCGCAAAACGCAAAGGAATTCACCCTGCCATGTGGTAAAAGTAGTAATAATACTGTTTTGTCTATTACTATTTTTATTGTTACATAGCCTCATCTAGTATTGTTATATCACCGATAGATGATGAACGTCTATGATATGATGACATGTGTTACAAAATCTCTTTAGTTTTTATGCCAACTATACAAACGGACGGGAAAAGCAGACAATCATGTGTTGATAGACAATGAATCTGATTGATTGGTTATGGGTCTACACAGTGGTGACCCTCAGTGGTGCCAAACATTAGACAAATATGTCTAGACAAGCAGAACAAGATAAAGCACTCAGACACACACGCGCACATATATATATGAGTGTGTGCATCGGCTATATATAAATATCTAGACAGGTAAGGTGTCTTTTCCGTTGATCCCAGTCATTCAGTACTATGGTAATTGTAGCGTTGTTTTGTTTATCTGAATAAGGTAAGCATAGGCCGTTTGTAGTTGTTAATCGGCTTGAGATAAAACACTGGCGGATACTACTTCAATTAGATTAAATGTGTTGTTATATGATGCATGCAAAGGACTATCCACTTGCAACACGACAAATACTGAGGATCAGCGTTTTGCGCCTTCTCTTCTGTATTATTACTATAAGTGTTAATAGTATTGGCGGCTAAAGAAGATGAGATGTTTGTCAATATAAACGGCAGTTGAAGTTAAAAAAATTGGCTAAAGTTATACCTAATAAATACTAAATATGAGCGCCATGAGAAAGAAGCTGGGCAAAAAACGTACAAGATGTGCGAAAGCGCCCTGCGAGAATATGTACTTATCTATAACAGGATTTTGAACCGATAACGAATTGGGTCAACAAAATCATTAAATAAAACGTAACGGCAGCAACAGCAAAAGTAATAATACGGTCATGTAATGCGATTTTTTAAAAAGAAAAACAGATGCTTATCTGCAGAATCTATAAGCTACGGTCACATGTAATTCATTGGGAGTTGGCAAAAAAGTAGCTTCAAAGCTATTTGATACGAAATGTCGTTCTCCGGAGCAGTATACAGAAAAAACTATTTAAAAACAATACAAAAATTCATTCGTTGCAATGGTTATTATGGCTGCGGGTCACGAAAACTATACTGGCGCCAACAACAAAATCATTTGTTACAATTAAAAACGGTAGCCCAAATTATCTGAATATAATTGTTTGCTCATTCCCAAAAATAAACAAACGATTTTTATGCGTAGATTATATATATATATATATATATATATATATATATATATATATATGGAAGTATACTATCATGTTAACAAAAATAGAATTATATGAGAAATCAAACATGTAGGGAATGTGTAGTAAAAGAAAAGACTAAAAGCTTTATTCTGAATACAGCAGGTACATACTTGTAGGCTGAAATGACAAATAGATTTATGCCAGTTACGCTACGCTATAGTTAAAGGTTATAGCTCGAAGTGATTGTTGAGATACGTAAAAACGTGGTCTGGTGTGATTAAGCGTGTTATGAGGAGGAGGTCCGTTGAGTATGGTAATTAGGACCGAAAGGAAACATTCGTAATCAACATAAATGAACTATTATAGTGGTAAACACAGAGGTAGTTCAGCAGTAAGTTTCAGTCGCTCTAATTAATTGACGGCTGAGCTCAAAATGACTAGCTTAATAGAACCGAATGGTTTGTTGATTGCCCTATCGGGATCTGACATGACAAACGTAGTATCGATCTGCTATATCTAGGGGATCATGTCAAATAGTGACAGCAATTTCGGGTGGCGCCAGCTTATACCTGTTGCACTCTGATATTGCTGACGATGCTACTAATTACGACTGATTGAAACGATTTGTTCTACAGCGATCGTCTGTCTGGATACCGCATATCTCATCACCTGACTCAGAGAATGCCGAAGAACCTCATAACGGCCATTTGGCTTGTTGTTGTTCTTTAATGCATGGTTGAAACACAGCAGCAGGACAAAAGGCTTAATTAGCGGACGGCTTAAAAATGATCGCGGATAAAATCAATATGTTATAAACATAAACCTTCCCTAATATTCATAACGACAGAAAGCTACGGATCTCGGAAAATTATTTTTAGGTGAGCAGCTTAGTAATCCGTGAAAGGTTACACGCCACATAGAGCTCAAAAGGGGTAAGCTAGGCCTAGCTGAATGAACTTCAATTTGAGGGATTAAAAATCGAAGAGAAATTCCAAAGAAAGCACTCGTTGTCTCAAATGCTTTCCTTCCTACCAAAAAAGTGTAAATTGAGTGGTAGCATAGAATGATAGAGCGCTTGTTCTTAGTGGGGTATTTTTACCGTATACTGGGCGGCATTGTCTGGATGATTAATGCGCATCTCTGTGAGTGCGTTGCCATTATTAAGAAGCATGCTCCCATATCGGTTCAAGCCTGAATGTTGGCAAATATAAATACTAGATATTAATGACCAGTAAAGCAAGGAATAGATACAAAACAAGAAACTGCGGCTAATAGCTGCTTGAATCATTGCCATTCCGTTTCTCAGGTTTTCTGGATACACTCCAGATAAATCTAGGAGTACTCACTCCGGTTAGACTCTCAATACTGACAGGTCCTTGATGCCATAGCTAAAAATAGGTGTTTTCGTAGATTTGGGATGAGGCAATGATAAATAAGAAGGCATTTTTGGAAGTAAAAGAAGCGTTGCTTGAAATGATCTAATGAAGGAAGTAGAGCTAAATTGATTATTATTATTACTATGAGTTGAGCAAAAGGTGCCTGATGACGGCAGTAAGTAAATGAATGTGTGTGAGGGAATGAGAGACCAAAAGCGACAGAAAGGGACCAAGAAAACGTAGGGGTCTTAAAGATTTAAGTTGAATATAATGCGCGTGTTTCAAGAACAAAAGGGCACAAGATAGAGGCAGCCAGCAACAAACAGCACCACCAATCGTTGTTGTAGCAACAGCAACAAACTGTAGCAACAAAAATAAAAAAAAAGGTTACCCAAATTAAATGAACGAATAAGCTAAAAAATACGACTGAAACTCAAACGCGGCAACAATGGCTATGAATTGAATAAAAAAAAAAACGCAAAGACCGTAAGGTGTCAATAAAGCTATTTCACCGCAACGCCTTCCATCGCTTGCACGTAACTCACGCCTTTGACTGACTAATCAGGTCCGCAAACAAAAAACTCACACGCGATCCTGCTGATCGGGGTGTGTGACACGCTAGATGTTGCTTGCATAGCGATACTTTGTTTCTCTTTTTTTGCCATCCTTATTGGTAGTCATATATAATAATCGATTTCAAATGCAAAGTCTTCGTCATGAAAACCAGCTACCATTAAGTCCAACAGGATGTCCATGCGAACGTAACGATGGCCGAATGCAAACCCAGAACCAAGAAAAAGAAGAGAAGTACGCAAACTAAGCTATCATACGACGTACAACAATTCTACACCATGTTAGGCGGTTGAAGGTTACTGGGCGGGTGGCAAATTCGCAGCGTTTAGGTTAACGGAATTGATCGATTAATCATTTGGCCGTATACATGATCATAAACGCCAAATAGTAAACATGAAGAAGGGCGATTGTACACCGTTCGAAACAGGCTTAAAGACATTAAAGGTGTAATATCATAAATACATAGATTAGATCAGGAGTCTGTGGATCATTGCTTGATAACAACATACAGTATATGACAAAGGTAAAACCGACTCGGGACTCAGCTCGGTTGTTGAGTTAGCATAGAAAGCGATTAGGAGGAAGGTTTGGTAAGTCAGTCAGGAGTGGGGCAAAAACACCAAGACAGGAGAGATACTGGAGGAGAAGACGAGAGAGAACGAGCAAGCCGAGATAAGTGTATATCAACACGGGTTAGGTAGTCGAACCGTCTGTCGGGGCGAGTGACATGAAAAATAAGTCTTCCAACGAACATGTACAAAAAAGAAAATTATTACCAGCAACAACAATAAAAATAAGTATTATTATTATTATTACATAAGCAATAATAGTAATAATGAAATGCTACGTAGCCAAACAATGACTGTTAAACGAAGCAGGAACAATAAGGGAGAACAACAACCAACGAATCATCAGATCGCAATCGACGTTTTGCAGTAGTAATAAAAAATTATCAGTCCAATTGATAAATTGTAGCTGTTTTTGTTTAAATGATCGGAACATAGCAATAGTGGTATACCTTTGACGCATTCAGAGTCTTCCTCAATCGTGGTGCTAGCCGAGTCTGTTGACTCTTTCACCTGGCTCCCCTTTTTCGTGATAATGCTTCGACCTAAAATAATAATAGTAACAAAATATGGATGCAGTGCACGCGCTGTAGAACGAACGATTACGATAAGGACAATGGCAGTACGATTGTATGGATTTGATTTGAATTTTTTGCCTTCAATTTAATTGTTCACTACGGTACAATACAACATTACATAGCAGCTTGCTCGTTTCCTAAGAGCAGCAACGACAGCAGGCAGCAACCGAAGCAAAAATGGGAGATAGGAACATGAAAAAAATTCACCGACACAATTCGCTAACGGTGGCAAAAACAACAACGACAACGACAACAAGAACGACAACAGCAATAACAACAACAACAACAACAACAGCAACGATATTGACAACTTACGACAGCTACGACGAAGACGATGAGTTGAGATCTAATTAGGTTTATATAATTCGTATTTAGAAACATGAACAATAGGTATCTCGACACAAGGCTTAACTAATCGAGCTTGTCGCTTCGTTGGTTTGTTGAGACTGAGTAAGTACTCTCGAAGATAATGGATGTTTTTAAGATTAGCAGCCTTGAACTTATTGGTTTTACTAAGAGATTAAGTTAAGTACTATGTCTACTGGACCATGAGGTTGAAGGCCAACAGAGTACACATACATAGAGAGCTGTATGCGCACGCTGAAAAAATTCAGCTCTAGTACAATACGTACACACATATTGGACTTTAGAAACACACGGTAGTGCGCACGAACCCATCAGGCCACTGTCAGACGGGCAATGGCTAGCTTCAGTGCGATGCTTCATTTAATACTTGAAAATATATGTTGTGTCTATTTAAAGAAGCTTCAGTCACTGACTAATGGCACACATAGCTTGAAATCGCCAACGTATATACTACATATTGAATTATCTAAATTTCGACATTTGTTTTGCTTGTATTACTCCCTACTATATATGGGTTTTTGCCATTTTTTTTTTAAGAGTACGTCATAGCTTGGCTGATTTGGCTGAGCCTGCCATCACATACGTTAACCATCAACGGCTGCTGCCTTCACTTTTAACTTGTTTGGTTTGATCGACATTTGAGGTTTGAGCTGTTATAATCTTCACAAATTTCTTTTACGGCAGATATATAGAATCGTGCACCTCATCTATGATGCCTGCTTGCGATTTCGTCTGGAACTATATCCAATAATAGTCGAATGGACAAAATCGACAGCAACGACTTAAGCGTAGGCAGTTATACTTGACTGAGGTTGCAATGAATAGGCACCTGCTATCCACTGGACCATATACATTTGATGGTTTAGACGAATGACGATAGGTTCAATCGCAGTACATAGACGCGATGGTTTTCAGATATACGGATCAGCGCTCATGTATGCTATATCTGATCAGTTCGTTATCTACACACCAGCTGTGTATCTGCTGTAACAGGATTGGACAGAAAATATGATAAATGCGAACTTTTCAGACTTTTAACTTTCTGGTTCATCCCACCATCCAACCGGCAAATCACAAACGCACACGATTATAAAGCAACAAAAACGATAACATCAAACTTTAGCTGCTGTTAGGTAACGTTAAGCCATAACGGACCAATAACAACTATATACATTGCATAAAAATCGAAACTTCTGCATGTTCTTGTAAGTAAATTATATTTTTTTGCGACTATGACGGGCCCACCTCCTTCCTTCGTTTCGTTCATCAACGAAGCTCACTGTATGTATCATATGCACGCAGACTTTTGTTTATGCTAATTCTATAAAACGAGAGTAGATAACGTCTCTGGCTTATTCGTAAACTGAGCTCAGAATTCTGCCCCAGTTCAATGCATTAAATAGCATCAGACTGACATCGCAAACCTATCAACTAGCGACAATTCCACTTCGCTCAAGTTGATAGCGAACTTGAGTTGCAATGATTTACAGCCCAAAAGCCTGCGCAAAAATACTGACATTAAATAAAAAGTTTGATAAATTCAATCATTAGATTATCATTTAATAGCGTGCACTAATTTCTGGAAATTAGATGGAAATAAGAAAATTTAATACCTTTTCTTCGCTGTGAAATGACGATATGATCAGGGAATTAACAACAATTACCAGATGACTCGTCGTTTTCGTTCATAATTTTAAAGGAACGTCTACGCAAAGAAGCTTTCTTTGTAGTCTTACCACCGTTTATATAGAGGTGGAAGGAGATCGAAATGTGCCGAGCATAATTTCTATAGAGACGTTTATATTAGCGCATTATAAAGGGGCACGTAGAATCGCGTTGCGATTAGACGTGATAAATGAGCCCGTCAATCAATCAATCAATCAATGAACGGAGATAACTTTGCAAAATGCAACAGATGTGCACAACAACACGTTGAACCAGACGACGAGAGGCTACTGATTTAACAATTAACGACGATTTAGGAGTCCTCGGTAATGGCGCCTGATGTAGAACGATACCGATGAGTAATCGACAAGCAAAATGGAGGTCGTACCAGTCTCGGATTTTTAGCATGTGCACTCTGTGTGGCCCCGTATAGGTCCTCGGTTAACTGTCGTCTATTTAGATTGGTTGCTGTTCCTTCAAATGAAAATCAACCGACCGGCACCAAAATCAAGTAAATTCTAACGGATGCAACAATAATGCGTCAAACAGGCCGATCGAGATGTCTGCTTTCAGTGAAAGACAATAGCAAAGTGTCGCTGAGTAAAATTTGTTGTTATGACAAATTTCAAGCTGAGCGAACAACTAGCGACGAAATGCTAGGTCAAAATGAAATCGATTCAAGATGAAGAACGGAATCGATTTCAAACATTAATTAATCTCAATTGCGAATACTTGTTGTTTATGAGCTGCGTATCTTTGGATAGCCAAGAAACATGAATTTGTAATCGGTTAGCCCGCTTATAGTGGCAAATACGAACCAACGCGCAAGCAGCTGAATAATTGCACAAACGGAAAAACGTCTACAGTGAATGAATCACGTAAGGAATGCATCGTATGAGCAAAGCACATAAGAGATTTACTATAGATAGGCGGGGTCTGATAATACCCGACAGTCAGAGGAAGAGGAGCCAAACACATGGAAGAGAAGGCTTGCTTCCAAATCTATTGAATAAATTGAAACGCCCCTGTTGGAATAGCAGCTGGGAGAAAAAAGTCTCTGGCTAAATGATTATTGTTGGAACCAATTGTCCGTATGAATCGATTCGCAGTAGACATGGAGGAACGGATCACGTGTCTGGGGAAGTTTGTTATAAGGTCAGCCATTATCGAGTGGACTATAATATAAATGATAAATAGAGCAAAAAGTCGGCAGAGAACTGTTTGAAATGAAGTGCATTTACCAGAAGAAGAAAGAGAAAAGTCCATGGAACAGCGAGAGAGAGAGAGAGAGAGAGAGACTAGTTTTATCGGGAATGAAGCACCGACCCCTATTCATTTAACAAATCACAATTTTTTTCTATCAAACGAAGTGAGAATTGAGTGTTCAATAGAAGTGATGATAAGGCAGTATGAAAACGGAAATTGCGGGCCGCGCTAGCGGATGAATATGTAAGTCCTCGCTAGGACAAAGGAACGTCTTGCACGTGACCGCCAAAATTACGTACTATCATACGTGCATACGCGTGTCGCGTTATGTACCGGAAGAAAAATGGACTTACAATCCATAAACAAGCGCAAGGAACAATCGAAGGCCAAACAGTGAAACAGAGTGAGGGAAAGCGAATGTACTCAACTGAAGACGAGTGCCATAACACTCATCATCATCATCATCACCCTCCACCTCCTCCTGAGCAGCAGCGACAATAACAACACTGTTGGCGTCATTTTTTTTTTATCACCATTAACTTTGTTGTAGCCATTAATAGTAATAATTGATTAATCATCGTTCAGTGGTAGCGCTTACACTTGCAACACAGATGTAATAATTGCCTGTGACGACAGTGGTAGCCCACCCATAAAGCACCTAACTCTATAAGCAACAAGACTATCAAGAAGCAAGACCTCCTGCCATCAGCTTGTTTCATGGTCATCAGCATACACGTCAATAAGGCCAATGTCGCCCTAACCCAAATCATCAGCATCAGTGTTGTCCTCACCGTAAGCAACATTATCATTAGTACGATAAAAACCGCAATTCTGTTTCCATGGTCGGCCTCCTTGAAGAAGAGGTAAAAATAGATAAATTAATAGAGCGGAAAGCAGTATCAATACGATGATTTGTCATAAAAAGTATAGTAACGTTAGAGTTATAGTAGCAATGTGTGGATCTATTCCAGTAATACTAGACGCGTAGTGAAAATGCTCCAGTTAAGAGGGTCGAAAATAACAGTTGCAATAAAGAAATATGAAAAGAGACCATATGTAGTTATTATGATAAACGTTGACTCATAGTACGTAATAGATAAGTAGCTGGGTGGGGTACAACAACGTCTTAGTAAGGTACAGTTGTCTATAGTTGATATTCTTGTTATATCAGCTATCAGTAACACATTGCTAAGCAGGATGCTAATACGAATAGAAAATATCGACAAAAAAAAATAGCACAAATTATATATACGATAATCCATTGACGATAATAATTGACTGTGATATTGAAAAAAGCCTAAACTATGATATTTTTTTAGAAAATACGTTGCTAATCGTAGAGCTCCGATTGGAAGCAGGTTTTAGTTCAAATAAAATCAGTCAAATGTAGTTGATACTGCTATACACATACGGCAAACTAAAGTAAATAATATTGTTTTAACCATTGTTACAATATCAAATATTATAGTAAAGAAATCTCCAAAGTTTGAGCAGAGAGCCCTGGCCAAGCTTTGGATTCCCCCAACTCGTATCAATATTGTGTGCGTAAAGAGCCTTGACAGACACTTATCTATCAACTGCTAATATCATACACTTTTATCCTGGCAAGGGAAAACATTTGAAATTGATCACCAATTACATCGAGGAAGGATTGGTAAAGAAAAAGGATAAGCTCATTCCATTCGACAGATACGATCGAATTTTCAATGAGGGGGTTTGGGGCAGGAAGATCTGGCAGTAATAATCTAATGCGATTGTTTGGGAGCGGATAGCGGTACCGGAGCAAGCTAACTCACTTGAGAAGTTTCTCGTAGCCAGCATCGTAGTGAGGATAGCTCCCTTGAGCTTCCTCCTGGCGTTGAATTTCCTCAAGCACTCGACAGTCTCCTGTCGGTGCAGGGTCGATGCCACTCTCTCCCTCTGGCAGATCCAGGGGTGTTTGAGGGCCTCGGCGGCTGTAATGCGCTTAGCCGGATTGACCGTGAGCATCGAATTGATGAGGTTCTTAGCTTCTGGTGTCACCGTGTCCCACTCGGGCGAAGGGTAATCGTACGCTCCCGCCTAAACAGAAATAACAACGACAACATAAACAATTAGCTTTCAAAGGTAGCCACACCTAGGGGCTCATAACAAGGTAGACCCGTATAGCAAACGTATACCTAATCCCAATTCTAGACGGAGGTCAAACTCTAGTGCCATAGCAGTGATGAATATGGGCGTCTCACTGCACAGAGAGACCTTAATATTGAAAAACGTTATGTCATAGCACGATTGTACTCTACCCCATGTAGTAGTACGCATTAGGTATACTTATTTGAGTTTAGGTAAGTTAATGAGTGTGTCTGGAGTTCAATCAGGTATACGATCTTTTTCTACAAGGAGCACAGAAGACATACATTTCTCTCATCGTAGAGGAACGCTGACTGCAGGCATATTAGCAAACAAACAGCGAGTAATACCAGACGCAATTGATAACCAAAAAGACCAGCTGCGAAGGTAAATGCAGTACTTTCTTAATGCTTTAGTGGATACTAAGTAACAGATAGGCCTATATTAGGCCGCACAAAAATTAATTTGAAAAAAACGTGGACATAATCGAACCTTTGAACGAACACGTGATAATGTTCGGTCGTTTCAAAAGTGTTCAATGCAAGTAGAAGACGGCTATTGAGAGCGATGAGTATGGCGGTATAAGTAAAAAAGGTTGGATCACATTACTAGCAACCTCACAATATTGTATAAACATAACCATTATTATGGTAGTACCAGAATACTATGTTGAATGCGTCGTCTCGCACAGGCCCAGCCGTTTGTCCGGGTCTAAAAATACAATTAGTGCGTGTTCACTCGGCTGTATGAATTGCGATGACCCTACACAGAGCAAATTTCGAGCGCTATATTCGAGTCTGGGCCTGGAGTTATTTGACTACGCCATAGTAATGAGAGCAGAAGGGCGGATAAGACAAAAATGTATTTTACCCGCGCCGGAACATAGCCAGCATGCTAAAGATTTAACAGAACAACACTGGCCCTTATTGTAGCGAAATTTTGGGTAGAAATCAACATTGACGCAATCGACGACGGAAACATCGGTGTCTACTGGTAACGCATTGTTTCTGACCTTATTACAATTCCATCATTTATGTTATTCTTTATGTATATTGTCTTTTTTATTGTTGTTTTTTTGTGCTTTACTTTCAGTAATTAAAAAGTATTCGGTCTTTATCATCATCGACTAAACATATGTTGCTGGTTTAATGGTATGCGTCTTTCTGGTAAGATGTGTGACTGTACCTACCTTAATCTGGGCATAGAGTCGATGTTGGTCTTCATCCCAGAAAGGCGGGTACCCGACCAACAGAATATAGAGAATCACACCACAGGCCCAAATATCAACAGGCTTCCCATAGGGGTCCTTCTTGAGTACTTCAGGTGAAAGATAGCCCGGCGTACCGGCAAAACCGTACCAGGCCTGCTGTTCACCTTGCACCTCTATCGCGAGACCAAAGTCGGCAAGTTTCACAGCAGCGCCCTTGGCTACGTATGGATGAAATTCAACACACAGGCAGGTTAAAGACACCGGAAAGGACACAGCAAAGAGAAGAAGTTACAATAATGACGATCGCTATATACGATGACAGGTGCAACAGCCTAACACATCCTCGTTATTAATTGGTACGCAGTAACCAAGCGTTTAAATTCATATGCATTTAGAAATACTCTATGGCGAGAAGAGACCAATATATGTATTATGTTGATATTGATTTTACAATAAAATAATCAAGGGATCAAAAGTTGGTGACTTCAAGTAGCATTTGAAGTGAGAAGGCCTGACTCAATCGAGTCTTCGAAGGAAGATTTAATAAAATGTCTAAATGTGCAATAGTTTTTATTAAAGCGCCATATATATAGATGGTCGCAAACAATAAGGCGGAACAGCCGATGATCACCATAATCATTGCTTGTTGAGAATCGTAACGGGGGGCACGTCACCTGCGCTGTGCAGTAAGGCCACGCCACGCCATGGCTTGCCTAAATTCTGGCATGCAATAAGTAATTGGTAGAACAAATATAATTATCGTAGTAGCCACTAAATTCAATCTGGTTGTTTGCCGCATAATCTGATTTGGACAAGGCCTTCTGCTACGACTCGCTCCCTTTTAACAGCTTAGCTAAAAAGTTCATCTCATTTAACTTTGTTTGTACCAGCAGCAAAGGGAAGACGAGAGCCCCCGCTGTGCCGCACAACAAGGCCCGAGGAGCAATAATGCTTTACAACTCTGTTTTCCTGATCGTTCTTGTAGTCAGTAGATTTGTGCTGGTTCTCGATTTCTTCAGTGTGCATTCTTTCGACGTATTTTTTTTTAATTTCTCTGCCATTATTCGACCTGAAGAGTCGGGCCTGAACTTTATTTTTCTTCAACTAAAGGACATCTCTAAGCATAGGAAACAGTGACATCGATGCTAGTAAAACCGTTGTAGAATTAAACAGTGGTGGAGATCTGTCTGTGAATTAGCTTTTGCAAGTGTCTACTGCTTAATAGGATCGTTGTTATTGGATTACGTGAACATGACTCAGCACTAACCTTTGCTGGCAAGGAGGAGATTTTCTGGTTTGAGATCTCTGTGGACAACGTTATTTTGGTGGCAATGGTTGACACTTTCCAGAATCTGCTGTATGCAGTGGGAAGCATCGGCCTCACTGTAGTACTCTCGCGCCACTATGTCCTCAAATAGCTCTCCCCCGGTCACCAGGTCGAAGATAAGGTAGTGGTACCTGCAAATGGGCCAAACGGACCGGGCAGAAACAACAGTACAATAAGTGGGCGAAAATGACACATATTGAGTGTAATGCTTTGTATTGTTTAGCATTATCAGCTTCTAACCAATATAGTGCTATACTTGTGGGCTCTAGCCAATGGTCAGTTATGGTTTAGACGAGTTGATCTATGGGCTTCATGCACGAAAACATGTATTCATTTGAAAAGAATATAGCGCTACTAAACGTCATTCGCTTGTTAACGTATAGTTAGCAACGATCAATATAACTTTCTTACTCTTTAGATGCTGTATTAGGTCATAATGTCACCTTCGTCATACACGTATGAAATATGTAGGAACGATATCTGGAAAACTTCTAACAACGGTGCTCGTATTACATTCCGTCTCGTCTAACCCGAGCCCATGGACCCGTTCTTGTCCCGATACTTGCTTTCCCAGGCGTATAGATACTATACAACCGATCGCACGAGATCCTACAGCTCCCCTGAGAGAGACGCCAACTCGAATGAACAGTTACCGAGGGGAATGGCTGCGAGGCGCCTGGTCTGTTGGAGCCCGATGGTGCCGGTGACCGTGTTTATAAGAGCAGCAACTTTGCAGAACCGTAGTGCCTGTGCGGCCTTGCATTTCTTCCGCCATTGGCCTGCCACTACTCTTTGATGCCTCCGGTGCCATCGCATTTCTTCACGAGCCCCTCTCCTTTTCGCCACTGTTTGGCGCGCGGTAAGAAAGGGTAACAAGAAGATATTGAAAAGTAGATGACGGCAGCGGCCTTCAAGGAAATAGACTCGGGAAGTTGACACGGTTTGGGGCCACAAGTGTGTGTACAACTGAGCGCAAGGATGTGTTACTTCTAGAGAACCTTCTTGGTGGTACTCCTGAGACTGCCTCGAGGGTAAATCTAGGCCGTCTGTTCAGTAGGCAAGACATCGTCATGTCGGATAAACATAATGCTGCTATATCCTCCGCTCTGCCTTTAGCTTTTCTAAACGATTTTTCTTCGTCCTCAACGCGTTGTCCTTAATGCGATCGGTGGTGAAGCCATGCTTGGTAACGAGCAGATATCAACCAGTGCTCCCCTTAGGTTTGCACTCTTTGAGGTTGTCGTTGAACATGCTACTAAGAACATGATTTCGGATCCAACTGCGCCACTCATGATACAACATTTCGCGCTTCCTGCTCGTATGTTAAGACTATAAGACAAGCATCCAAATAGAGTTCTAAAGGCGTCATATAAGGTATTGAATGCTATTTGGTTTTAAATTGCGGGTCCGGTATTACGCAAACAACTGGATGTGTTAGTGTACCTCTACTGACGATCGAGCAGGTTTTTATGGTGATTCGGTGACAAACACATTAACATATAGAAATCGTCAGACGTTCGATTTTAACTTCATCAGATCAGAATAATTAATGATAGCTATACATGTAGTCCGCGGGCCTTTTGGCAGTAACATAAGTAGAAGTTCTGTTTAAGAAGATGATTTGGTTCGTTCTCTTGGTTTATATAAGCTAAATAGATCTCCAAAAATAAACACGCACATCAAAAATTGGTGCAAAATTTGGAACACGTTTTAATTTATACCTTAAGTATCTGGCAAAATAGGCCTACTCTTATTTTTGTACAATATAAGCAATAGATCAAATGCGTAATGAGAGTTGTCGAACAACATGACGCTAATATAAGTTTACTGGGTGAGCGCGCGTAGACAAAAAATAAAAGTTGGAATTATCTGTTATATTCGCTAACGAATGTGTTAGAAAATAGCAGAGGAACGTTGGCGAGTAAGGAGGTGAATATAGATCGCGTAACCCTTTTGTATGCGTACGGTAGGAATATAAACACAGAATATATGTTTTCTTATTTACCCCTCTTCCTGTATACTGTCGTGTAACCGGACGATGTTTGGGTGGTTTAGTTTGCGGCATATCCGCGCCTCTCGTTCGAGCTTTTGAAAATCCCGCGCTGACAGTTTCTTGGTATTGATGATTTTTGCCGCGAACTCGAGACCGGTTGACTTTTGAACACATCGTCTCACTATTGAAAACGCTCCCCTGAAAACGAATACAAAATAAATAGAGACAAAGAGATGTTAGTAACCTTAATAGTAACGACGCGTAATCTATGTGATTAGGCGAAGCGGTTGATATAACGGCAGAACGTTATTGCCTACCAATGACATATCAACAACAACTGTTCATCAACAAACGCTACAGAATTGAGTAAATATCAATGGCATTAGTCATGATAGAGGCGTGCGCCCAACGATATTGATTTTTTACCCATATAGATCTGTCTCCTCTTGGTTCGACTGGGCGGTCGTTCACTCTGAAGTCTGTGTAGATCGAAAACGGACCTTACTACCAGACGGAGAGATAGTATTGTTACCATTAGTAATAATTCGTTCTACAGATCAGCTTTGGTCCTAAAGTGTCATCACCAATACTGCTGATCTCGTCTGCCTTTCAGTATTCGGAGCGACGGGTTCAGCTGCCTCGCTGAAAGCTTCCTATTTAAAACTCCGTCCCTGATCGTTTGCTCTGCTTGCTTTAATGGCTACTCCGATATCGTCTCAACTAACGATAAGGTTGTATAATCCGCTGATAGGCGGCCCGTCACTCACTTGCCTGAAAAACTTAACGAGTACATCAATCAAGGCAAATGGGCACCCTTGCAAACGATGGCTATGCTATCCGCAGAACGATCTAGAATATCCTTCAAAGTAAGCCAACGGAGTCTGGCTAACGTACATGTCATGAATACAAAGCTCATGGCAAAAAGAAGATAAACGATTTGAAGCGAATCCAAAAAGATTGAAAGTGGTTTGAGGAGACGAACTTCATGTAGAGGTATCAAGCTGTGTTAGAGCTTGTGAAAATACCCCTACTTCAGGAGAAAATATCTGTTAGTATATCTTAGTAAGAATTCCTTTAGCGATAATTATGAGAATCATTTTTCATCCATAGTCCTACATAGCGACTGGCCTAATCAGTGATAAGGTGCGTGAAACTAATCGCTGCTATCTAAAATCTGTCCGAGACATGCACGGTTAGCTGACTCGCCCATAGCCAGTTAACCCTACAAGGCGACCTAGTTTCGTGCTCCTGCAATGATACTGTCGACCTATCTCAGAATTTAACAGCCGGTATCAATGTTGCGAGCAACACTGTTTACGAACAGCAACACACTGCGAGCAACAACGACGATTATTTGAAGTTGGCATGACAGTTATTCATAGTTGACTGCTATCTTTCCCATTATGTTTGTTAATATTGTCGATATGGAATAGACGTATGAAAGAATATTTGTTAACAATTTTATTCGGCAAATCTTCCATCGTGGACCTTCCTTTAACTTCATATTTATCAGGAGCACCATAGCCCTTACACCTCACTGGAAATTTATCCTACTCATATTGTGCAATACAAACGTATATATAATAGAAACTTTGTCAGAAGCTCCTGATTCAAATCGGTTTATTTATGCAGACGTTTCGTGTCTCTTGCTCCACAGGAATTGGATAAAATGCCCGATAACATGTGGTGATCACAATAATTAAACGTGGAGTGCTCTTCCCTTCATGTCAAAGACAAAGTACGGAGAACAGATCGTTCACGTAGCCGCGTTCGATGATGCATGATAAGCCATTTGTATAGGATACCTGTTTGCATACCATATATTTTTTTGATCGCTCGATGTTTTTCAAGTACCTGAACAGACAGTTCGCATTGTATAGAAACTGAAAACGACACGTGCAACAGATACGTAACAAAAAAAGGCTGACTTAGTTCTGTTGGCAAATGTTGGCCTAATTTGGTGATGGCAAGTGTGTGATGACCTTAAAGGTTCTTTATCAGCGGTGACTCCCACATCATCAGCAGTAGCAACAACCAAAAGGCGCACGTGTTGAAGTAATCATTCGGTGATAATGCAGCTGACGTGTTCCTTGTGGTGAAGTAAATGACAAGTATGGGTACCTCTAATTATTCCTATTTCTGTGATAAATCATGAAAGCTTCTTATTGAAATTCTGTTTTCTATAGGTTTTTTTCCTTCCTATATATTAGCAACATATGAAGTTATTACTGCTTTTCTTTAATTAAAACAAGTTTTTATTTAGATCACCGAAGATAGCATACACCGATGTTAGCACAGACGATAACTAGAAATCACTGGAAAGTTGTATCTCTGTTTTGTAAAGCATTTGTTTTTCTTAGTGAGAGCACAATAACTGGCGTATTTCGTTTTTCTGCAAATGTTTGGTCATTACCTCCGACCTCGTGGTATCTTTCCTATACGGGATGAATATTTAAAAAGGAAGTTAAATTATGATGTCGAACGTCGTAAATACACAAATGCTTCGAAGCGGGACGCTTGGTAATCGCAAGCAGTAGACGCTTCGTGTATTGCGGTTTTGCTTGCATACCTTTTCTTTGCTTTTTTCTGTATTTTTACGCGTAACAAAATTCTATGAAAGTACGAAAGCTGGATTACGCGGATAGCCCTAACTGTTGCGTATAATTAAATGTTACATTATTATTTGCATATAAAAGTAAACATATTTTGAATGACCCGCACGTACAAGCGTCCAAGCAATAGTAGCGGATGTATAACAAGGGATATTTTTTATTCCTCTAAATATTTATATTACATTTTTTTAGAAGGGAAAAATGTCTTTTATATATTTCGTGGTGAAAGCTTAGAACAGTTGAAATACACGCACCCGTTATGCAGAATAGGGTCAATATTATAACGAGACTAAATAATAATAATGTAATATAATAAGTTGATCTTCTTTGGTTATGCGTTCTACTGTGATTTTCAGTTTTTATGTGATTAACCTTTTTCTCGTCATTACAGACAATAACTTCAAGCAAGCAACGATTAGGCTAAGCAGAGGCGCTCAAACAATTAATTATTTGCTAAATAATTAACTATTTAAGCGTCCCTGCCTAGCCTTGTAACAACCGCCCAGAATAAAATATGTCTGCATAATTTGTATCTGTTCAGTAGTATTTCATATCTTTTGTACCATCTATATGAGTGTATGTGTGTGAACATTGGTACCTCCGTTAGGCCATAGACATCGCCCCACATAAGGGGCGTATTTTGAGGAAGAAATTAATTTGAGAGGCCGGCGAAGGGCCCATTTGCCTAGAATTGCCTCCACCATCGCCGCCATCGTCATCATAGCCATATCCAAGTTGGCAATAAAGGACACCTCAACTGTCCTACTTTTTAGGCTACTCGTTGGCGTTACCAGGATCGATGAGCCTTCTAAGCACGCCGACGTTGCCGAACGATTCGGCACGGTTTTCCAGATTTTTCTTATTAGATCTTCTTAACAATGCATCGGTGAGAAAAACTTCGTATACAGCGTTTGACTTAGCTTAGCTCGGAGTCCGCTATTGCTTGACGCTGTCTCACCTTATGCCCCCTGCTCTCTCTCTTAGAAACATTCCGTGATAGACAATTCTTTTTTGCTCTTTCACTTTACCACGCAGCAAATATTATTTTATACACAGCAACAGTAGAATTTGAGCCCAGCTAGCTATATTATCGTTACGCGTATCTGACTGCTGGCGACTCGTTGACCTACTTTACAGGTAGAGGTCACAGACTTGCAGAATTACACTTACATTGACTTTTCTATTTCGTTCGCTTTCTTTTTATCGGCGCATTCCCTCCAATTCTTTTGGGATTTAAATGAGTTCTGGCCTCAACAACAGCGGCATCAGCGATGACTAGCGAAGCAATCAGTAACACGTGAGCGTCCGTGTTAGTCAGCGCACCATCTGACTATATGCCATCTGAGTATATATGACAGAATGCGACCGCCACCGGTATCATTAGGGCCGCCACCAGCACGATGACCGTGGCAACTAGCAACAGCTTTATTTTCGCGGCGCTTCCATGATCGCTCGCCTTCAACGCAACTGTCTGTTGGAGTACCGACTTCCGAGCCGTCGACCGCTCTAACCGAATATAGTGCATCTACCTAAGGATCACCAATGCTCCTTTTTTCACTATGTTACCTAGACCTGCTCAAGTAGCAGATACCACTATCTCATGAGGGACGAATAGAAAGGGCGAAAAAGAGAAGGTGAAAAGGGCTAGCATGTTTCTTCTCCTAGTAATGTTTGAGATTTGCGTGTATTCGATTTCTATGAATGGGACAAACTTCAAGAGGGAAGAGTCTTTAGGTCCTGCAATACACAATGACAACGTCGCCTTGTATACGTGATCGACTGTGGATAGTTCCGCAGTGGATTCATCAGAAACAATGGGAGCAAGCACGCTTTATTTAACCTTCCTGTCTATCCGGCGCCAGCGCACCAATCTAGGATATCCTGTTATATATATACGCATACAATACAACCCGTGTTGTGTCCACTTGACTCACTTGTAATGGTAGCCCGCGCCGGCCTCGATGCGTTTCCGTTACCCTATGTCTGTTGGTACATTTCTGATGGTTCTACAGTTATCATAACTTCTACTTTTCAAGTGTTTCTGCTGCCGCGGTGACTGCCGCTGGCTAGCACAGAACCATTTCGATAAAGGCAGCGGCAGTAAAGCTGGGTCAAAGGACGCCCCAGTATGTGTGGTGTGGGGTAGCCAAGGGTGTAAAAAGGGGATCAAGGATACTCCCCAAGCTCGGGAGAGAAAGATAACTTAAAAGAGAAGAAAAAACATAGCTAAATCGTTTTCCGACGATGACGTATTAAACAGGCAGTAAAGCAACCGTGCGCAAATTTCGCGATAGGGGAACAAACGGAACTGCTGGGAGCTCGATAGGAACCCGACAAGAGTCTAACTTTGTCTGCCCCGTAGTTCATGCAAGAACGGGTTGCGGTGGCCCCCCTGTTGTGTTTCCCTTCTACGGCCCTAACCCTTTACCTTATTCCTAATAGTCCTTCACTCTTCTTATCCTTTTGCGTCTCTTTGTTACTATGTCGGAATCCTCTAGCCTTCGAAAAAGTCGGTACACGTAAGAGGGCGACTGAGCTTTGTGCCGTGATTGAATGGCTTATTTTTTTTTTGTTCGTCACTCTCCT